TTCTTATTGGATATGATTAGGAATGAGATCATCAGAGGTACAGCTGCAGGTTGAACAGCTGGGAGATAAAGTTTGTGGTTAGAGACGACCCAAACAGGTGAGATCCCAAAGCAGACGCGTGTCAGAGTTGTCCGTGTGTCAGTAATTCAGAAGAACGCAGGCAGAAACAGGGTTTAAATGCTTTTTTACAGCCATGAAAGTACAAACACCCCCTCAGCTCCAAATCTTCTGACGCTTTTATTCACCATTAATAACTAATTAAAAATGTCCGGGTGTTTTCCGGGTTCGGACCTGTAATTACTGTTAATTCGTCGGGTCAGGTTCAGAAACTATGACACCAGGTTGGGGCCGGGTCGGATCAGATTTTTTTGGGCCCGAATGCAACTCTAATGCAGAAGACAGAGAAGGAAGAGGATGACTCGCTGTGGCGACCCCCGAAGAGGGAAAAGTCGAAAGAAGAAGAAGAAGAAGGAGAAGTTTCTGCTGGAACAACTGTGCAATGTGGAAACTGACTGTGATGCAAAGGTACTGGTATATAAAATAGCATCTGCATGAACCATAATGAAAAGGTGGAGAAAGGAATTGTTTAAAGTTTCACTGATCCACTTCAGTATTGACACCACAGATTAGACATTAACTCATCAGTGCAGTCAAAATGATTATTTCTCCAAACCAAGGTTGTTCAAAGAGCTATCTACAACAGGTAAGATATTAACTGATTGTAACGTTTCCACAGAGACTCTTTCACTTTTGCTTTAAGTAAAAACAAAAAAAAAGTATTTCTTTCTTGCTTGCTTTTGGTAGCAACAAAAGGCACAAAGGCAGAGGCGAAAAGTCAAAACTATGAGCTTATTTAGCTAAAAGTGGACCAGTATCCTACTGAGGTTCACATGTTCATGCCACAGGAGCTGGATGTGATAAATAGCTGTAACGACTGCAGAGTGCTCTGAGTTGGGACTGCATGCTGATCACACCATTTCCTATTGAACATGGTCTCCATTGTCACCGTTTTTTCTGCGAGAAAAAGTTTTTAAGAAGAAAAGACGAAAAAGGCTAGCTGAAAATCAGTTTGGATGTATTTGAAACACGAACCGGAAATTGTCCTTTTTTTGCATCCATTTTGTTCAGCTACTTGCCCCTTAATTCTAACATGAAAAACCTTTGAAGTGGTAATGAGAGTTAGAAAATTGACTCAGTGATGATTAAGTACTAATAGCCATACAAAATCCAAAATTTAAACACGTCGAACAAACCTATTACAATTACTAATTAGTAGTGATAAAGCCATAATGAGCCAAATACTCGTCCTTGACACCGTGCAGCACACCCGGGGGAAGCTGACTAAACAAAATACCTTTAACACACACACAAACGGGTTTGTTCTGGAGATCCAAGGCAGCTGTTGTTGGTGCCCACAGTTTTTATTTTCTTTAAAATGCTGAATTACTTTATCAAAGAGAAGACACACCAAGTTCCCCTGACAAATCCGAGTTGTGAAATCCTTTGTGCTCTGCTGATCTGAGTTAGCTGGGACTGCTGTGGCATCGTCTACGAGACCGACAGGCGCTAGAGAAGCAGCTCGGCACGTCAGCTGAGTCAAAAAAACAAACAAACAACAACAAAACCCTGGCTCCACCTAAAACAAGGGGTCACTTTTAAACAGCTTGACCACAGACACACTGTTTATCATGCTGACAGGCTCGTATATCACACCTTGTCCAAACTAATACAGATAAATCTGAAAGCACTCCTTTCACTTTCTGACCTTCTGCACCTACTCAGCCAGCAGTTTTGAAAATAAATAAAAAAATAAAATAAACCCCATGTGTAGGCTTTTCTACATTAGCTTTGACATGGCCTTAGATGTCCATGATGTCCTTCCTGCAGTGAATAACACCTGAAGCGCACGGATTACAGACGACAATAGGTGTGAAACATCATTCAAATTTCTATTTTTATGTGAAGGTCAGAGACACAGTTGAGCTTATAGGAGTCCTGCCCGGTGTCAGCGGTTTTAGTCCTGTCAGGGCCAGTGAGGTTAAAGCTTGAATCTGCTTGTGTTGAATCTTTGACGCTGCAGCTCTGCTTGAATGACTCTGTTTCTTAGGCACTTCTATGTTGTGCTTATATTTAAAGGTTTCTACCTAGCAGCATCAGGAGGCTTTCATAGAGGGAATTCAAAGCACACTAGCGTGGAAATAAAGAAATGAAACTGATCTTGGCTAAGATTGTTTTAAAGGTTCCCCTTTTGTAGTTGTTATCTACCTTCTCATTGACATTTGTTACCATAATCACACACATCTTTGCTTTTCTTACAACTAAAATGTCACAAGTAAAATAGATTTAATGATGTGGCAAAGTGCATGAAAACAATGAAAAAAATGCATAAAAAAAGCATTTTAGGGGCGTAATGTAATTTTTTTATTTGGCTAATTTCCTAACTGGTTTATATATGGGGTTTAAATTGATTTATAAACCTTTTTTTTAATATGGGATGAAGATGAAGTTATGAAGATGTGCACATCCTTGATAGAAAGTAGCGTTGGTTTGAGAGAGGAGTAAAGGAAGACATATTTGAGAAAATAAACCGTCCATCATTAAACAGGGGTGGAGGCCTCCGTGTTCAACTGTCCCCCTCTTACAATGCTGTGATTGCTAGTATCATTCAGCCCCCTGTGAACTGGGATGCGATCCTGAAAACTTCTGGTTACGAAGCGACAACTCTAACCGCTGTTCCACTGTGTCACTATCAGGATTCTTGTGTTTGTGTCTTTTTGTGATAGTTTTACTTTCGTTGGGTCTTTTTGTATTTGTGTTCAGCTTTTCCTAGCATTTTTTCCCCCAGCTCCTGCCACTCTCACCTGTTCCTCATTGCCTTTTCCCAGTTGTTCATCATTATCTGTCGTAAGTGTCTCTTTAAGTTCAGCTTCTTTGTGTTTCCTGGTTGTCCGTGGATTGTGCTTCCCACAGCCATCATGTTCTGTTCTGCCATGTTCCTTGATTAGAAGATAAGATTCACTGCCTCATCAGTCTTTGTTTTTGTGTTAATTTAAGGTCTATCTTGTAAATGAGTCCCCGAGGCTCAATGGGATTAACCTGTATAAATAAAGGTTGAATGAAATATAACGTTCTTTATTTTACCCTCGAGCTTCCCTGAATCAGTCTGCACCCTGGGCTCGAAACATCACAGAACATGACAGTCACTGTTGTTGTTTTAGCTAACCTCATATAAATTTGTACAAACTTAGTAAAATAAGTTAGACCAACTTTTCTTACATCTAGAATACTCAAAATGTTTTGGGTAAAAAACACTGAGTCAATTAATATATAGTCACTTAAACTGATCTGCTTAAATGTTGAACTTTGTCAGTTAAAGTGAGTTCAAGTAACGAAGCAACTAAATCCTGTTTGACAGTGTAGAGTTTAAAATCTAAAGCCGTTTAGCAAAAAAAAAACACTATAGAATTATATTCTCTAACCAAAAATGCTTATTAATTGTAGATATTTTAGATATTTGATGATCACTTTTAATACAGAGACAGACATACAGCCTACTGGCTTAGGGTCTGTCCTGAAAAGATCTTGCGAGCTTCCCATTACTTCACACTCAACGACCACTGGAAATGAGCACCAGCTCATAAAGAGGATGGATTCTTTGCCACAACGATTGTGCAAGTTTGATAAAATAATTTAGTAAACTTTAATACATTTCTTATCTGAAACATATGCCAAGAACCCCTAAAGAAATGTCTAAAGCCTTCCAGACGTGTAGCACTTCAAAAAGTATGTAATAATTTCTTCTCAAACGAGCCTCCGAAATTTAGAAATTTTCTGTTCACAATGAAAAACAAACTCAAATGAGATGCGTGCTGCTGCAGGAGCAGCCCGGAGTGAACTGGTGATATTAAACTGAGACAACGGAGAAGGTCTGAAACAAACAGTGGAAATTATACATTTTTAACAGCAAGTCCTACTGATTTAAAGACAAAAAAAAGACATGCCAGCATTCTGTTTACCAAGAGTCACCAAGGCTGTGTTTTCTGTGTGTGTGTGTTTTTTAAAGAGAAAGTGTGAAAGTTTTCAAGGATTCTTCACAATTATGAATTTTTTGGGGAGAGTCTCTGCCAGTCTGTGTCTGCTCAGCATCGTTCGCTCATTCCCATCACACAGTGAGCGCAGCCTGAACATGACAGACTGGTAATGACTTGGGACTCCACCCCCCCCCCCCCCCCCCCCACACACACCCCACACACACACACAGTCCAAAATATCAAGCTATTTCCTCTGCAGGCTCTAATGGTCGTCTGCCTTATTTTAATCCTTTTCACTTTCTTTCTTTTCTTCTGCAGGTGCAAAGCAAAAATGAACGTTTTGCACAAAATAAAAGTTATTTATTTTTCTTTATTTTATGCACGCACACGTGCACACACACACACACACACATGCAGAACATTCCACACCTAAAGAAGAAACTCTGTTTTTGTCTGCTGGACTCATCTCCTCCTCACAGAACTATTATATAATTTGATTCTTTTAATTTCCAGAACCATAAGAGGGACAATGGTCTCATGCTTGGATACACATTTCCCCCGCTTGAAATAAAAAAAGTATTTTCATCTACTAGCCTTGCTGAAAAAAAAAAGTTATTTTATGGCTCTATAAAAGAAATTATCATTATGCGGAAAAAGAAAGAAGAAGAAAAACGAAATTCATTTCCCCAAAGCTTTATGGTCGGGTTTGATGAGCTTTTGATTTTTATCTCTTCATTTAGTTTTATAACTGCAGACTTGCTTTAGGAGTTTTTTTCCATCCCAATTATTTATCATACAACTTCAAAAAATGTAATCACAGACTCTTTTGAGATATTTTTTATAAGTCCCAGTCAAACTGTTCCAAATAAACACAACAAACACGCGTAAAACCAGTAAAGAAAAGAAGCCCCGCAGCGCAACGCATCTCCTGACTCAGACACTTTGCGGGGGTTAAAGGTGTTCTCCTACCGGGGAGTCGCTGCTCGCAGTCGGACAAAGAGGTCCTCTGAAGACCCCCTTGACGCGCCGAAAGTGCCCATTGCTCAGGTGAGTGGAGCTGATGACCAGGTAGTAGCACGCGCTGCACGCCATCCCGGGAGGCTCGCGAGCTTTGGAGCCCATTGAGCATCTAGAAGTGATGTTGCGCAGGTAAGAAGAGCAGCCGGAGGTTTGCTTCAGTCAGTCCCGTCCTCTGTGGGGGAGGCTCTGCCTGACAGGGGGAGAGAGAGAGAGAGAGAGAGAGAAGGAGAGGGAGAGGGGGGAACATGAAACGCTGATTCTGAGAGTGTGTGAAGGACAAACCCGGCAGCAGACATTTGTGAGAGACAGGGATGTGGTACAGACCCAACTCCTGCGCTCAGCTCCCTCCTTTGGCATGCTGCTGTCGTCCGCCAGGCTTAAAGGAACGGATGAACGCCTGTGGAGTGGCAGAGGAGGGAGAGATGGATGCGTCCACTTTCTCCTTCACACACACGCACGCGCACACACACACTCCTGTTCACCCCCCCCCCCCCCCCGCACGAGTCTCAGTTAAGTCTCAGCTAAAACAGCAGCAGCTGACTTCTCTGGGAGGAGAACATGGAGCGGCGGCAGAGAGACTCTCGCAGGTGCGCGCGCCTGAAAGGAAAGAGAAGGGACAATATCTGACCCTTCTTTTCTCCTCCCCCCCCCCCCC